CTTGTAGCAGATGCTCCAACCTATAGTCGTTGCCGCCCTACGTTGTTCATGATCATCATAAGCTGGAACGAGAGGAACGTTTTGTTGCGTGTCTCGGCTGCAGTGTCCCCAAAAGTGAGCAGTATTTTCTTCGACAAGTCCCTAAGTTGTTCGTGGTCCCGAAGCGACTGTAGCGAAGTCGAAGCTCCCGTTGCCTGCCGACTTCATGTGCTCCACGCAGCGCTAAACCGCGCCAGCTTGTGGTCCAGAATAAGCAACGGCCTTGCTTGTCATAGAGTCCGACACAGGTAACTTGCGGGAGCTCTTCCTCATCTTCACTACAGCAGCTACGCGGGCCCCCCATTAAACTGATGCCTTTCGCTCAATGTGTGCATCTTCCAGCGAGATAAGTGGAAGGTGGTTGTAGTTTGGACGATGTGACCGGGCTTGAGCTTACCTCCAATACTGCGGAACAGCAGTGAATCCCACCAACGGTCCGTGAATACAGTAAAAAAAAAATTGCCTTGGTGTTTGAGTTTGGCAATAATAAAGATTTCAGTTATGTGTAAAGCAATAATGAATATTGCCGCAATTCTTATTACATCTTCCACAAAACGGAAGTACTTTACTATCACTCTCACAGCGTCGAACGTCATGCTGGTAGGAATCAATATTTCTTAAATGGCTCAGCGAACTAGCCAAGCTCATAGCGCTGAAATGTATGATGTATGTAGTGTTAAGCTCTTGCTTACAAAAACTCGTTGTTTTGGGAGATTATAACTTGTAAGAAATCAAAATCGCAATTATCCCCCCCCCCTCCCCCAAGCCATACAACAACCAACATTTTGATTTTTTTTCATAAGGCTCACGCGAGTTCCACCTGCAGATTCATGTCCGCCGTGGTCTCGATCAATTTATCCGTACTCGAGTCGTCTGTGAAAGTGTCCTGAACGTCCGTAATGCAGTACGTCGTGAGCCTGCTACACTTATCCATACGTGAGCTCGTTCAGCTAGGCCGATCTCGAGTTCGTCATGAATGCGACTAGCATGTCCATTCTTTAGTCCGCCGTAGACTCAGCCCGAGTGCTCTCACTCGAACCTGGCGCGAAGCAGTTCAGCTTTCTTGTATTCGAGTTGGTCTTCAACGCGGCGCTTTCGAGCTCTTCTTTGTCGCGAGCCCACCCTGCTGGTCATCGCTCGAGTCCGTTGTGACCCCCCCCCCCCCCACCCCTCCATTTTTGAGATTCAAATGGCACACCCGTTCTCAAGTATTCAGAGCGACCTATTCAAAATTTCAACTGCAGCTCACCTTCCACACACTAGCACCGTAGACGACCTCGCTGCTCTCCCTTCATTCGTTCCAAAGTGCTGAAGCAACCTTCGACAGTGTGGATACCCATGAGAACTACAGCAATGGACGACAACAACGTAAGCTCATCGTACACCAGAGCCTTTTTCTCTCAAGCACTCTGGGACCGTTTTTGAGATGCACATCACTTTTTTTATGTTGTAAACGTTAATGATCTTCTGGCGCTAGTTCCAGCTTTCGCTTTAGGCTGCCGTTCCGTGTTGCGCGTGTAGTTTGCTGGTGTGATGTACTGGTCCTCACGGTTGGTGCCGACCCGACTAAAAGGCTTTGTTGTTGAGGGTGTGTCACTGAGGCAGTTGGAAAAGGTGAGGAAAATAGTGAGAAAACATGATGATGGAAATTGAGCTAGACGAAGAAAGAGAGAGAATGCTAGAGCTCACTTCGCAAAATACAAACAGCAGCACAAGCTGCCTTTCCCACCAACTTCGAGTGCTCTACGTTTCTTGCTGCAGGTGCAGACGCTTGCTTACCAGTGCAGTTTACAAGTGGTTATGAGCCCAACGGGTCACCTGTAACAAAAACGATGAGCACCACAAACAACAACAAGAAGGGCGGATCGGATGACAAGAAGAAGGCACACCCATCTTTTGATGGCCAGGACTTCGAAGTGTGGCTGGAGCGGATGACTATGAAGCTCCAACGCAAAGGCCTGTGGAGCTACTACGAAAAAGAGCCCACGGAACCGAGTTTCACTGATGACGAGTCGAAAGGAGAGGAGACGGACGATCATGCTAAGTACATGAAGGAGAGTAGGAGAGCAAAAGAGATCCTGTACGATGGCATGACTGACAAGATAATGAAGGCAGTCAAGTACGAGGCAACCCCGTACAGAGTGATGGAACATTTGAAAAAAAACGGTACATCGGAAAGACTTAATTCAAGTATGCTGCTGAAATGACACAGTTGAGGAAGCTGCAGTTGGACGCCAAGGGTAATATGTCGGACCATCTCGGCGAGATCCGACGTCTGATGGATAGGATCGGGCTGCTTGGGAAGCCACTGGACGACTACGATAAACCGGCTCTACTCATTGGCTCGCTTCCCAGTGACTACGACAATGTGGTGGAGACGTTCTTGGCCTCTCACGTGCCGACTGACCTAAACGAACCCCCGAACTATGAGCAGTTGGAGCACGCCCTTGAAACTGCATACGACCGCCGCCAAGACCGCAAGGTGGCAGCCGACAACACTGATGAAGAAAAGGCGCTATTTGCTGATGGTGGCCGAGGTCGCGGTCGTGGGGCTGGACGTGGTCGTGGCCGAGGTCGCGGACGCTTTGGTGGACGCGGACGTGGCAGTGGAAAAGGTTGTGGTCGAGGCCGCGGAGAAGGTTACGGCAGAGGCCGAGGCGCTGGCGGACGAGGTTCGTGCGGGCAAGGTGGTGGTCCAGAGTGCTTTCACTGCAAGGAGAAGGGACATCGAGTGTATGAATGCCCTCATCTTGGTAAACGGCCGCCAAGTGAAACGAAAAACGATGCCCCGCCGTCAAAGCG